CCGCATCCCCTCCCTGGCCCTGTGCCCACGCTGCTGGGGATGCAGCCCAGGGCACGGTTGTCCTGCTGGGCTGCCAGGGCACACTGCCGGGTCATGTCCAGCTTCTCATCCCCCAGCACCCCCAAGTCCTTCTCAGCAGGGCTGCTCTCCGTCCCTTCATCTCCCAGCCTGTATTGGTAGCGTGGACAGCCACCACCCAGATGCAGGACCTTGCACTTGGTCAACACAAATCATGGGTTGACGGCTTTGCCACAGAGAAAGTCAAACGTGGGAGGCCACGCAGAAGTGGAGACACCTCTAATAAAACAGCGGGAACCAGATGCTGGACCCCACCATCGCTGTCTGTACCACAAGCGCTATGAGGCAGGGAGGAAAACAAAGGTCAAAAACACTCCTTTTCCGTGGGACAGTCCTCACCCTGCTCCTGACCCTGTCCTCAGACCCTCAACCCCCAGATCCCAACCCAACGTCCACCTCTCTGCAGGGAGAGGGCTGAGAAGGGGCTGCAAGCCCAGCCCGCCAGCCCAGACACGGAAACTCAAGACCTGGGATTGAGCAGGGACAGGAGAACGCGCAAATAAACCAGGATTAGCCATTTCTCATTCAAGCAACCAGCTCCTCGCTGCCCAGCTTGACACATCAAACAACTCACCAGCTATTTTTCATTCTCAGGTCAAACACAAGAACTGAGGCGCAGGCAGTGCCCCTGGGCTGGGACTGTCACTGCTGATGAGCACAGCACAGTGGACAGGCAGCTACCAAGAGCCGGAGAAGTCACGGGAACCACACAGCCAAGGAGCAACATACTCAACAGATTAATTACAGCACAGCACGGGTCTCCTCACGATACCTCCGGTCTTTCCAGAGAGTCGATCCTCATTAAATTCTTTGGGAAATGAGTTTAGGTAGCCACTCCCCACGCTCATCTCTCCAGCAGACACACTGCCGAGCCCTGGGACACGCAGCCTAATCCCCGCTCAGGCTTCAGAATCAGCTCAGCTACCACCCTCCAGCCCCAAGCCTGCCCCATAACAGCACCCCGTCTCGCTGTCACAAACCTCTCCCTTCACTCACTCGCCCCCTTCCTCATCCACTCCCACTGCATCTCTGAGGATTTAAGCTCTGGGAAGACCCGTGCTTTATCTGCACCGCCTAGCTGGCATGGGTCTGTCGGTAACCAGACCCGACATTCTGTAAGGGGCGATGAGACACGATGGGACAAACTTCATTCTGTGCCAACATATTTTTGGGCCATTCAACTTATTAAGTACTTATTAAGTACTTAACTGAGGCAGACCTTGTGCATCATTTGTAAATTCAGATGAATTGCTCCCCCAGCTTAAGGAAAAGGACCTGGGGGTGTTGGTCTACAGCCATCTGAACAGGAGCCAGCAGTGTGCCCTGGCTGCCAAGAAGGCCAATGGCATCCTGGGGTGCATCACGAGGAGTGTGGCCAGCAGGTCGAGGGAGGTTCTCCTCCCCCTCTACTCTGCCCTAGTGAGGCCCCATCTGCAGTGCTGTGTCCAGTTCCGGGCTCCCCAGTTCCAGAAAGATGAGGAGCTACTGGAGAGAGTCCAGCGGAGGGCTACGAGGATGATGAGGGGACTGGAGCATCTCTCCTATGAGGAAAGGCTGAGGGAGCTGGGCTTGTTCAGCCTGAAGAAGAGAAGGCTGAGAGGG